AGAAAAAGATAAATATTTAACTGTTGAAGTTCACATATGGAACGATACAGTTGCTAATTTAACATTAATGGCAATCGGTTCAAGTTCACCAGAAATTCTGTTATCAATTACTGAAATTATTAGAAATCGTTTTGAGGCTGGTGAACTTGGTCCTGGAACTAGTAGGATAAAATCAGTTACTTTTCTTATTATTCTATACTAGTTGAAGTGTTCTTATAAATGAGAAATGTCACGGAAATCTTTAGGTTTTTTACATAGAGTAGTAGTTGATAAGACCATGATATTATAATTTGTCCTATTAAGTCAGTTTGTCATGTATTATTGATTACGACAGGAAACCTTTTTTTTCCAATTACTTTTTCATATTTTCAAACTTCTGGTGAAATTGTCACTGCAACGAAAAATGATGGATAGAACGTTTCGTTACTACTGCAGTATTTATTTTATTGTTGATCAACTTTGAGAAACTGGAAGAGTAGTGCTACCACTATCCTCATTGTACGACGTTCACTACACTACTCCATCACTCCAGTTCTGTCCACTTCACACAGAACATGAGCTTATATACGAGAGAGGAAAGGATGAATACAGGACAGAATGAGTAGGCAGCTACTAACGGTCATGAGGTCAGAACGTCTAATCGCATAGTGACCGAATATGCTCTCCCATCAATGAAACAATAAAAGATGCACATAGGTCGTGACCTTATTATCGGCACACTGACGAATGTGATTGAGCAGTTTCTCTATGCTAATGATCGTAGCTTACGTGAAATGCTTCATTAGGCTTACAATGGAGAAAATGCATATTTGCTATTTTTCTTAGGCAAGCTTATAAAAGCCCAATATGTTGTGTGTGTACCTACATAATTCAAGTAGCTCTACTAACCGGCAAAATATATGGGTGTTCCTAGAATCAACTCGGCGAGCTCTATCTACCGATAGTATCAGCTCCCGATTTGGGAGTGTTCGCGTGTTTTACAAATACCCACTAAAAATCATCGGATCAGGTTCCGGTTTCAAAAGTTGAACCCCCGCAGGACTCTACAATGCATCGTTGTAAAAAATCAATAGAACGAAAACAGTGAAATACAGTGAATAAGTATATGATACATGTTTGTTCGTTATACCGAATTTTCCTGCAATCATAGACGACTTTGAAATGAAAAACATTAAAATGAGTTTTACTTTTGAAAAATATTCGTACATCTGACCGAATCTGAATCGGACACTGTTCTCTACCGCCTTATTCCAGAATAAAAGATCATGGCCTTATAAAATGTTTTAGCATATAGTTATTCATTGGATGCTTGTTTGTTGAAATTGATCTTTGATGAACTATAATGTTCTTCAAATGTTTTTTATGGAAAAAACTGCTGTCTTTGTATAAAAATATGCCCATATGGTAGAATACGAAACGATTGAGAAATTCATATTTTCGAAAAATATCGTATTTCTTTTTAAATTAATGAATTAGTTGAGACATGACTTTCTATTCTTAGCATGAGAATACAAGGTTTCGATCTTAATCGTAAATAATATAATTATTTTAGTTGTTGGTTCTGCTGCATACAATCTTTTGATGATTTCTGCTCTATGTATCGCATCGATTAATGCTCCTGAAACAAGAAGAATAAAATTATATAATGTTTTCTTAGTAAATATTATTTTTATTGAAACTTATTAGATAATAATACTGATTAAAATAGCTCACATCCTTTTTTGGTTTATTTGCATACATTTGGTTATTCATTGTATTATCGTTAATATCAAAAGATGTTGTTGATCTTTGGGAAGCAGTCATTACATTTCTTTTATTTCCACTGGTTGTTATATTAGCTTATCTGGTAAATGAATGTATATAAAAAAAAAACTACTAAGTTGACTAACTTTTCTTTGTATATAACTAGGTTGAAAAGAATTTTTTTGCTTCAAGCAAAATTGACATCGAAGAAGAGAAACAAATATGTATTTTAAGTATAATGCGTCAATATTTTATTAACATTGATTAAATGTATATCATATTACTTTTTAGCACCATCTGAGGTAGATGAAACTGATAGTTCAGTTGATTTTCGTAAAGATGAACTTGTTCAATATTTAAGGGTAAGTTAATCAAATTTTAGATAAATCATTCAATTAGAATTCGTTATTTTCTTTTAAATAATAAATAGGATCTTGGTCAATCAACCAACTTATCATTAGAAGATAAAGCACAATTATTTGCAACTAAAGTAAGTGAAAACATGCATCGATCGCGTATGGAATATCGAATAGAAGGTACACGAATGCTTACTGGTGGTAAATCTTTATTTTCTAAATTACCTGACGAACTTCAAGAGGTTCGTAAATATAAATATAAAAATGTTTTTTTCTTTGTTTTCTACATTTTAATCATTTTCATAAATGTTTTTTCATATCTATATAAATATCAAAACAGACATATAATGCAATGGAAAAAAGGAATTCAATAGAAGATGATCAATCAGCATCGAAATTGGAAGAAATCGATGATCAACCAAATATCCAATTTTCTGCCGTTGCATATGCTGTACTCGAACGTGAACAAAAAGTTGAAGTTAAAATTGAACGAACCGGTCCGATTGATATCGATGTTCGATTCAGGTGTCTATATTCACTCGCTTATGCATTGATATATGCCTATACCATGTTACAAAACAACACTTTATAGTATATTCTATATATATACGTATATATATATATTTTTTTTTCTAGCTAGATATTTTCTTCTTCACTGCTTTAAATAATTTTAATCTAATAGTCAAGGAAAATTGTAACTTAGCATAGTTCGTTTAAGTCATTTGATGGAGCTTTTTCGATTGATCCCAGATCAATGATTCGGGAGAACGAATACTACAGGAAGATGCGGGAAAAGTCATCGTATCCTGCAGGAAAACATCGGAAATCGCTGGAAATGGAAGCAGTATTTCGACCGGAGAATATTCGGATTTTTTCCAGTAGATTCCTACCAACTTCCTGTGTTTTCTGGTAGGAACCGACGCGTACTTTTTAATCTGGGAACCATTATTTGAAATATTTAAAATATCCAAAAACCTTTTTACCTCCGACACTGAATTTGTCGAAAAATACAATATGAGATAGAATTAACATAATTTTATATAAAAATATGCATTTTATTGCTTTATACTTGCCTGCTTTTAGCTTTTTCTATTGCACATTTCTTAATAAGCACAAACATTATTTCATACCAACAAATTCTCACATACTCTACTTTTGTTTGATCAAAACATATGTAATTATGTATTTATACTTATGTTGATATTATTCATTTATAGACTTGATACAATTGATGGTACAGCAATAGCTGGTGAAGATTATATTAAATTATCTGAAGAATTTACAATGGAACCTGGTCAACGAGAAAAAAAAATAATTATTCATGTTATTGATGATAATCAATGGGAACCCGATGAAACATTTTTGGTTAAATTATCATTACCTAAAGGTGAAGAAGCTCATACAAAATTAGGTTCGAAAACAGTTGCAATTGTGACAATTATTAATGATGACGGTAAACAAGTTTCATAAAAAAAAAACAAAAAACAAAAAATTTTATTTCTTTCTGCTTGTCTTAGAACCGGGTTTGATTGAATTCGAAGAAACAATTATTTTATGTAAAAAAAGTGTTGAAAGAGCAGAAATAACAGTTATACGTGTTAATGGTGCCGATGGACAAGTTACTGTTAATTGTCGAACAAGAGGTATTGATGCTACAGCAATAAAAGATTACGGACGTAAGTCAAACGAATTTTAACAAGTCGATAAGATAATAATACATAATCTATCTCCTATGAGTAATTTATAAAATGAGAAAAATGCTTTTTGGATCTCCTATGAATTGAATGCAGTCTGATGAAGGAAAGTCATGAAGAGATCAAAGATGTTTTGTTTTTCTCAGAATTATTCATCCTATTAAATAAAAATTTTCCCTAACAGCTTCAAATACAGGTCAGAGAATCGATTTTGAGCGTCATGATTTTCCAGACAGATCTTATACAAGTAGTTTTGATGAAGTATTCGGGTCCACTAATCGTAATAGAAGATCCTTCCAGTTATTCAAATGCTTTTTTCGGATTCTTCTTCGCTATTACTGGCGAAAAGAAGACTTCAAAATACTAGTACTCTAAACTTTCATCCGCCACTACAGACATACTCAGAATCGTCAATAGATTATCGGTCAGAGAATAACTTTCGGTATACCAAAATCGAATGGGATTTAGAAGGTAGGCAACCGTTTAACTGTAAATTACCGGTGCTATTAGTACGGTTCGAATCATATTGAAAGCAATTTATAGTGTTTCGATGAAGTGTTTCTAGATTTCACAATGCAAACACCTTTGTAACATATTTTCTTTTCGAAATCACAAAATTTATTACTTTTTATTATTAAGATTTTACTATTTTTGTATGTAATATATGATCAATTTTGAACATCATTGTATATAAATTTGAGTTTTGTTTTTCTTGAAAATTTCTATTTTTAAAATAAAGCATTTTATGAAATTTGATTTCAAGTATTGAATGTATCATTTATCAAATCATTGAAATATGACTCTGAACATTTATCTATCCAAACTGATGAATACAGAGATCGTATACACCTCTGTACGTTCTATATTTTATTGTACTACGTGTTTTCGTACTGAATTATGAACAATTTACTAAATTTTCGGCTTATCTGTGGGTAGTTCCTAGAAAATTGAATCATAGAATTTTGATCTATGAATAGGTCTAATGATTCTTAGAATATCCTGTAAGTTTCAGCCGAAAAGAATGTTCCACCATTGTCAAGATATGGATTTTTCAAAAAGAGGTCTTTACCATAAAAAAAACAGATTCACCTGAAAATTCAATGAGTTGACGATAGAATATTCTTTTCTGTTGAAACCTTCAGAATTTTCTAATAGTTAATATATGTATCTGTAAACAAAATTTTGGATTGAAGCTTCCTTATTTGAGTTTTCTGTGAATACCTGCCGATCGATCATAATTCGGTTGGGATGACCCTTTTTTTAGGCTTTTGCAATTTTCACTGAAATTTGCGTATGGATCCAATATCAGCTCAAAGAGTAGATGTCAGTTAGACTATTTCCCTCGTAAAATACTAGTATTGATTCTGACTTTAAATGTCAAAAAAAGATAATTTCCTGAGATATTTACGTACTAAAAACAATTTCCGAAGATTATATAGATTACATAGAAACAGAAATAAAACCAATAGAATTTCCTGAGTTAATATGTATTTTATTAACGATTCATGGAGGAAAAATAAGATAGAAGTTCGATAAATTATGTTATTTTAAATTTGATGAGTTTGATAAATCAAAAACTTTTGTAATTAAAATCGATATAATCTATCACTAATTTATCATGCTTTTTTTTTTTTGTTTAAGAAAATTATTTTGTTTTAAGGTTTAGAATCCAGACTTGAAATTGAACCGACCATTTTTTGTCAATTTTTAGGGCATGTAATCTAATCTATTTTGCTCGATTTTATTGATCTTCACGGCATTAACGATCTCAAATATGAGTCTGAAAGCCTCTAACTAACAAATATCTAGTCATCATTGAAAGCTCACACTTTAAAGTTTGAATTCATGTCTATTCTTCGTACGATGAGAACCTCCAGTCATACTAAATAAATTGATTATGACCACAAAAAACTAGTCAGTCAGTCATTAGAAGTTAATTTATGTCTTAAGTACAGATTTTCTCCTATGAAATTTTCAACACACTTGTCCGAATTATTTTCAGCCAACTATCAGAAACTCTCAATAGATAGTAGTTTTTGGTTCATATTTTCATTTCAAAAACTATTAGAAAAGGTTTCATTCTACTGTAAAAGTTATAAATCTCTCGTCACAATAGAAGTTCCATGAGTTTCTAGAATGTTCAAATATTCAAAAATCTCAAGGTAGTTACTAATACTCTTTGAACGTGGACATTACTAAAGAAAAGAATCAAAAGCTCACACCATGTCATCATATTACGAACAAAAGAAATATTAAGTCGTTTATTTGTGATGATGTTCAAATATGCGTCATCAGACAAAGTGATGATTACAGAGTACATAAGTGAATATAATCTCAGAAGTCGACGAAAAATGAAAATGACTTCCACCGATTATTCTTATTCATGAGTATTTGACGTCTGTTGACACATTTTTTTATGTGCAGATGATACCGAACTAAGAATTATTTAATAGCAACTGCGAAGCTTAACTCGAAAAGCTGAAATTTGCTGGATATAATAGCAGCTGTGGGACTTCCGATATGGGGAGAGAGTGGTCTTCTATTCCGAGAAGTGATTTACCAATTGCTAGTCTTACTTAATAGAAATAATATCTAGATATTATTAAGAAACCTAGAAATATAAAGTTTAGGCTAAAAATTAGACTCTATAGCTCACATTGTCTTTCTTTTTAGAGTAGTAGCCTAATAAGAACTGAGAAGCGTTTCAGTTGTGCTTTCAAATAATGATTTCAAATGAAAAGGCACTATGATTTTTCGTGTGTTGCTAAAAAAAAAGCCCTACATTTATTGAAGAAAGTCAAGCAAAGTAAAGTATCGATGTTTTTCAATATCAGTTATTGTGAGTTGTTAGATGAAAGATTTAAAAAGAAGTCTCCCGAGTGAAATAGAAGTTGCTACGATTAGAAATTTCAAGAGTTATATGAATATCACATTGTATGTCTTCATAGAACTGTAGTGATCAACTTTTTCTCAGGAGAACTAAATCATTAGAATAAACGGTCATAATCTTTTACTATGAAAATTTATATTGCTCCTCAAAAGGTGATCTTCTATTCTAGGCTAGTTTTGGATTTCTAAAAAAAAAGGCTTTTGAAAAAACCATGCCTTATGAATTTCTCACGGGCAACCTTCTAATATAGGATGACCTTTTATTCTGTAGAGCGAAGGTTTAATTGATATTTTACATGAACCGACTATGTCAAGAATTTCAACTGATTGATACAGTTGAAAAAAATTCCACTATTTCCAAGTCTACTAAAATTCTATTTCAATTTGCTCTAATGTTGTATCTTCTACGATCATATATATTCAGAAATAAAAAATTAATTCTCTTTTGTTTTGTGTGCTCTTTAGCTATTGATAGTGAAGTAATCTTTGACCATGGTGAAATATCAAAATTTATAGCTATACCAATTATAAATGATCTTGAACAAGAAAAAGATATAAGTTTTGCAGTTGAATTATATAATCCAACCGGTGGTGCACAAATAGGAAAACATAATAAAACTATTGTAACAATAATAAATGATGATGGTAAAGTTTTCTTTTTGTTGAGATAAAAAAGAATCGAATTTGATTTCAAATTATTTAGATTATAAAACAATAGCAAATAAAATAGCATCACTTGTTCAAAGTGATATTAATAAATTAAGTGTAACGAAAACAACATGGGAACAACAATTTACTGAAGCTATGAGTGCAAATGGTGGAGATCTAGAAAAAGCTAAATTTGTTCATTATGTTGGTCATATACTTTCAGTTTTTTGGAAAGTTCTGTTTGCCTTTGTACCTCCAACATCCATAGCTGGTGGTTGGTTAACATTTTTCGTTTCACTTGCTTTTATTGCTATACTTACCGTCATTATTGGTGATGTAGCTGCTATATTTGGTTGTCTTGTTGGATTAAAAGATAGTATAACAGCTATATCATTTATTGCATTTGGCATATCATTACCTAATACATTTGCATCAATGATTGCAGCAAAAAATTCTAAAACGGCTGATGATGTTATTAGAAATATTACAGGATCGAATAGTGTGAATGTATTTCTGGGTCTTGGTCTACCATGGCTTATTGCTGCTATTTATTGGAAATCGAAAGTAAGAAAATGAAAAGATTTAGTTACAAAAAAAGAATAAATTGTTTTTACTTTTAAGAATCTTCCATTTACAGTCAAAGGAGGCGATTTATCATTTAGTGCACTCGTCTTTTCTATTTGTGGTATTCTTTGTATGATCGTACTTATACTTCGTCGATATTTGGGTGTTTTTGGCAAAGCAGAATTAGGTAGAGAAAAAAATTATTTTTCTTGTTTGTTTTATTTTAGTTTTAGGTGGACCAATAATACCTAAATATATATGTTCTATCTTTTTTGTAATTCTTTGGGTTGCTTATTTGACATTATCGGGTCTTCAAGCATATGGACATATTAAATGGTAAAGTTAAGAAAAAACAGAACAATTATTAGTGAAAGACTTTTATTATTATCATTTTTGCTCCTTTTGTTGTATTTATATGTTCATTTTTATTACATTGCGCGTCTGTGATTACATATATGCAACAAAAGAAAAATAAAGTGATAAGATTTCTTTTTTGTCTTCTTTTTGTATGAACAAAATCACGATAACAAAAATTATAGCATTCATTCGTTGTTTATTTTATTTATTTTATTATGAAACATATTAACGAATAGATGGAAAATATTCATGTAGTTAATTTTTCTCTTTTAAAGTGAACTCAGAATTGTATGACGTTTGTTTTCAATCCAGCGTTGCTTTGCGTTTTTTTTTGCAAATTTGTGTGTGTGTTTCCATATCTTTATCTCAGTATCCTTTTGACAAATGTATTCATTTCAATCATTTCTTTTTCTAATTTTTTTATTACTTACGCTCATTAACAAACTGCAGTTGAAGTATTTTTCTTTTTCACAATAAACGAAGATTAACATGGTCCTTCTAATTTAATGGCTTAGGGATAGTGCTCGGCGTGACCACCGTGAACATGACCCTGACTGGGATTTAGTCACGGACACTCACGTATACTAAAATAGTCACATATTCTATGTCTGTGTTAACTGCATTAGTTTTTTCCACAACATAAATAATTTCATATGCCTAATTTATCACGATAATTTATTCATTTTTTCTGAATCGAAATAACTATAGATAAATGTAACAGGAGAAATCAGAACTAAGGAATTTTTATTTCACCTAGAAAAATTTAAATATTTTTCTGAATTCTAATTTATCCTGCGATTGATGTCCTGTGGAAATGACTTTTCCCCGTTGTTCCCGTTCCATTTCTCGTGCGAATCGGAAACGGGAACCATATTACAAAATGGATGTTCCCGAACAGCGTTTAGTTTTATTTTGTTTTATGTATATAAATTCCAAATTTTGTTCTTTCAAGCAATAATAATTTCGAAGTCAATGCGATGTTGCATTGTTGCGAAATGCATTACGACATTCTTTTCAAGACGTTTTCGTCGCTCATTAATGAAAGAAAAATAATAAACACTTATCAACAGAAATTAGAGGGTGTGGGTGTGGGTGTGTGGGTGGGTGTGAATGTGGGTGTGGGCTGCGGTGTTAAGCTTTATTTACTCTACACGCACACCCACACCTACACCCTTAAATCTTTAAGACTTATCGATCAGACTTGATCGTTTTACAGAATATTAATCAAATCATCAATTTCGTGGTCAATCAAAAAGTTCAAACAATAGTAATAAGCTTAAACTTGATTTTATTCATGTTTGAAAATGGGAAGTAGCTATAGTTATTATGTTTTCTTTTGTTAGTAGTCATATTAACTCTATAAAAAGAGTAGTAATGCACTTGAAATTGCAAATATAATTATTTTCTTTTCTCCACTCATCCATTCTCAGTCTCGCTTTTATTTAAAAACAAACAACATCTCATAAGTAAGCACACATTTTTCTATAACAAACAATGGCTTGTGCTGCTTTGCTGAATCTTTGTGCAAGATGTGAGATACTTTCTGCTGAACAAAAACCAAAACCAGGTATTTTATTATGTATAAGGTGTCAAAAACACTTCTGTTCTCAACGTATGGTACAGCATCGGCAGCATTTGACCGATTTACTTGATAGTGGAGTTGTCTATGAAAGAAATGCATTGACAAAGAAAATATTGGCGTTATGTGCGCAGCAGTGGCTTGCTAGTGTCAGAGCACAACTAGAAACAATCAATAAATGGGAATTAGATGCAAGTGAACTGGTAAAACAATCAGCTGCATGTGCACGTAAACAGCTACAAGAAATGGCTCTAAATGAATCTGATAACTTGAAGAAACAATTTACTCTGCTATCTAATGAACTCAATACATTACGTGAAAGTGAAAATTATTTTGAAAACGATATCGATCAGTTAACAAATAAATTTCAACAGCTGAAAGTTGACACAGGACGTGGGTGTGGAGTGTGAGCAGAGGTGCAGAATCTGCCGTGATTTCGAAAAATTTCCCCGAGCAACGATGTTTTTCCGCAGCAATTTCCCCAAACCGTCCCTAGGAATTGAAATTTTTCCTCCAGCGGCGCTGGCGCAGTCGGGTATATTTCTGCACCTCTGGATGTGAGTGTGGGTGTGGGTGTGAATGAAGGCAACGTGAACACTCACACCCACACACCCACATCCATTACACCCGCACCCACACCCACATCCATTACACCCGCACCCACACTCACACCCACATCCATTACACCCACACCCACACCCACACCCCACACCCACACCCCAGCCACCCACACTCCACCCCACATCTACACCCACACCCACACACCCGCACCCACACCCACACCCCACACACCCACACCCACACCCACACCCTTCATACAAATGATATACATCGTGACATTTCAAAGTGAAAATATAAAAATTTATATTACTTTTTTTAAAGTTCTAGATGTTCTATAATCTGATCAGATTTTAAAAAATTTTGGTAAAATATTTGTTAGTATGAATGAACATTATTGGTTTATAGTAAGTTTATATGAAATAATTTTTCTTGAATATAAGAAATGAAAGACATACAGTTCTTTGAATCCTTTATTAAAAACAATGTGCAATCATATACTTTAATATTTCATTTAAAATGAAATTATTACAGAAGCATCACTGTTTACTTATATTTGTTTTCTCAAAAATGAATCGAATTATTTTATTCATATGAATTTGAAATTTTAGTCCAACACTCTATTGGATATTCAATTATCTATTTGATATAATTACCTCTATGATTTGTATTTATTGTATATTTGATGTTGCCTCTAACGGTTCACCAAATAGTCGAACAACATCAGCAAGTAAAATACCAGTTGAATTTGCTACTCCATGGGATTTACGAGTACAATTTTATCCATTAACAATAATAATTGCATTACCAACATTACCATTTGCACATCTTATAACAAAAATCTTCAAAAGTGATATTCTTATATGTACATATATTATTCTCCTCATTAATTATTTCTTCTTCTCTCACCATTATTTCACATAGGATTGATTAACACTGTGTTTTTTATTAGTTATTCTTCATATAATTAATATTATTATCCCGCTAATAACGATGATTATGAATAATAATATTCTTCAAAAATTGTTATATTGGTTATTTAATATTATTGCACCGAATATAAACGCTCAAGTTATTATTACTTATATATTAGCACGAAAAAGTAAATATCGTAAACTTTTAATCGATCCACTTGGCAGTATTTTTCCTGCATCATCATTTTTTACACCAATTGGTGATAGTACAATTGGATCAATTGGTTAATTCTTTGTTTACATATTCTCGTTTTTTTTTGTTAATATTAATAATGAATGATAGTGGTTTATTGAGATTTTCATTTTTAAATTTCTATAAATCAAACTTCGATGAAAATACACTTGATGATGATGTTTTAGCTGAACGTCATCGAATTTTAAATTTAAATCATTTACAAAAAACTGAAAATACTGTGAATACCACTAATAACGAAGAAGAATAAGAGACTGATCATTTAATAGTTTATGATCTTATTAAACGTTATTCAAGACGTCAGATGTTAGCTGTTAATCATTTCATATTTGGAGCAAAACGTGATGAAGCATTTGGTTTACTTGGTTATAATGTAAGTCAGACAAAACTCTGCAAAATCTCACATGTAAATTATTGATATAGGGTGCTGGTAAAACAACAACATTTCGAATAATTGTTGGTGATGAAATAGCAACACACGGGACTGGTTATATTGATGGATAAAATGTTCGTTGTCGTTTAATATCAATGCGTCATCTTGGTTATTGTCCACAACAAGATTGTAGTATGGACTTTTTAACTGTTCAAGATGCTTTATATTTATTAGCACGTGCACGTAGTGTTACATTTTCACGTATACATTCAGTTGTTCAAACAATTAGTTTATTATTTTTACTTGATTCTTTTCTTCATAATTTTATTCATCAATTAAGTGGGAGAACTAAACAACGATTACATGCTGCATTTGCATTAATTGGTAACAGAAAAAAGAAAGATATTTTATTTGATGATTTCCTTGTTTGTTTTTACGACCATCATTAGTTGCAATTCTTGATCAACCAACAACAACTGGTGTTGCTTCAAATGCTCCACAACCAATGCAAGAAATATTTCTTAATGTTGTTAAAGCAAAATTAACAATGATTTTAACAAGTCATTCAATGGATGAATGGTAATAAATAAGAATCAGTTCGAATAATTGTTTTATTTGCTATGATTCTCTTTTCAATGAACGTGTATGTAATCGTCTTGATATCATGTTTAATGATCAATTAGCTTGTTTGGGTACAATTCAACATTTAAAATCGAAATTTGGTCAAGGTTACACAATTGAAATCAAAGTTCGATCACCACCTAGTGATATACATGCTACAGCAATTCAAAATGTTAAGTCTCTTATCAACCTATCTGACAAGAGTGTTACTTTGAATTCGTTGTACGTAAGTCTGTCTACAATAAATCTCAAATATTTCATTGATATTCACTGCTGCTAACTCTTGAAGTTCAACGAAGTATTAGGGATTTATTGTAGACAGACTTACATACAACGGACTCAAAGTAACATGCTCATGAGCGACGTTGATAACTTACTTAAAATATTTAACAATTTCTCGAAGATTGCTTTGACGTGTCTTAGAAGTACGCTGAAAGACGGAATCTTCCATTTTTCTCCATTACTCGATGAACGTCTTAGTGAAATGCATAAGTTATTATAACGGTAACATTGTGTTATAAATAAAAATTAGATGTGTTCATCAGTTGGTAACACAGAAGAAAGAAAGTTGTTTTGTGCTGACGTAGTCGATGACGCACAGCGATTCTGTAAAATCAATGGCGATGACTTACTTCTTATCAAGAATTAAAGGTTAGAGCGACATGTGATTATATCATATAGAACATATTTGTTCTATTGAGTTTTGTGTCAATTACGATTTTTCTAATCTTGACTAGTTCTCTTTCTTTTGATTGACTACCGTTATCATAGAATTTTTATTTCAAAAATTGTCAAAAATGATCGTAACGATGAAGTGTCTTCGCATGTTCGTGAGGAGATGTTACTGTTAGCAGCTTACGATGAGTCATCATTTTGCCGAGCCATATAGACAGATAACTGTATTCAGAATGATACGTGAAATCGATTGCCTTGTTTTGTAGCCATGTAATAATTTCTTGACGACGACCTGGAAAATGTATTGGCAATCGAAATAAGACAGTGCATAAGTGATTAAGTCGTGTGAGAATCGTGATCATTTCGTCAACATTTTTTACTGTCACATCCAGCTGTTTGATATGGCGAGGTACCATTGAACAAATTTTCTCAATATTGATGCTGCAGTTGCTATTGTCAGCATGATTGTTTCTTCCGAATGGTAGAAGATTGGATGATTGCCGATCAAAATTCCCAATGCTTGTTCGAGTGTTCGAAATAATATCCAGCTTAACTGCTACAAGATGTGAAAAATCGATAAGTGACGACAAATAACGAAAAGAATCAATTGATGATCTATCATTCATTCGAACTTCGAGTCGAGTAACATTGCGAAACAAATGACGGTCAAGCAGTTTTTCCTATAAAGATAAAAACATATTGATTATCAATATACTTTAGTTAACAAATGCTATCGGCTTTAAATCTGTAAAAGACAATGCCCCAACTTTATCCATAACTATGAGTTTGAAAAATGAGTTATATGAATTGAAAAACTACTGTTGTTTTTGAGAAGAAATTATATCATATTTGAAAGACACTACATTTACCGGAACAATAGAAGCCAACTCTATTGCCAAGTCTGAGACTAATACATGCACATTATCCATCGTTGCTATATCATTATTCATATTGTAATGTGTAGAACATGAGACTTTGTCCATTTCTGGTACGTAGTAAAGTTTCGATGCACAGATTGGTATCGAATAGATCCTAATCGAACGTAATCTTTTGATATAATCACAAGTGACAAACCAGCCTTTGTTGAGCCAGAATGGTGTTTTAAATGGAACAATTATTGATACAGGGTCAACAGGTAGACGAAGCAAATACTCATGACAACTGAAGTAAAATTGAAATTTTTCTAAAAAAAGAAGTTTGTCTTCGATAAATTGTTCCCATTGAAATTTGTTGAACAATTTTTCTTCGCTTGTTACTTGAAGATGAACCAACGAAGGCGTTAATGAAAGAAAGAATTTGAGGTCGTTCTTTTTCAGGGCATCTATTTTTTCGAGTGTCAAAGATATTACTTGTTCAAATGTAAGTAGAGCAAAAGTTGATAAAGACTTTTTTGTTATGTAATTTATCAGAAAACCGCAGTCTATAAGTATGACTGTTTTTAGTAGAGGTGAATTCTGAAGAATAATACAATATTGATCCAATGTACAACAGTTAATGTTAAGATATTTTAGTGTACATTGACTAGGCCATGATATTTCATTTATTTGATAAGCAGTGTGCAGCTGAAGCTTTTGGAGAGTCGGTTGTCCAATTAGTAATGAAAGAGATGTTGAAAGAATGCTGTCACGATGAAACAGCGATTTTGGAATGTCGAAGCGAATAATTGGTGATTTTTTAATGTTGATTGAGAATGATGTGAGCGAACAGGTGCCGATAGACTTCAAAATATTGTCAAGATTCGAATCATCAAAACAACTTATTGTTGCTGATTTTAGCTGAATAAATCGACGTATATCAACTAACTGACAAAACAACATTATCTGATTTGGTCTATTGATATTTTCACATAATATAAGTGAGCGAACATTTTCAGGACGAATAATACGACAAATCAATTCGAACTCAGTTTTTGATACCAATTCAAAATCTAGCTCATATCGATCGTAAATGTCTGTAATTGTATAGAATCGTTTGCATACATAACGAAATGAAACACAAATGGTTCTTGCATCAAGATTGTGGAGAATATGTATGAGAAGCTCGACCGGAAGTGTTTGAAATGATGGAGTCGACATTAATGCAAGTTTAGATGATAGCAGCCTAACCTTTTATCCAATACGACAACGGCGACAAGTTCTGACGCATTTGTGTCTGATATTGTTCACGATTGCCCAATCATTCTTTTTTTCATCACAATGGGAAAAAAATGAATAGAATCGCTACGTAAGGAAGGACGCCCGACATGACTAGTCTAAAATGTCTGCACTACCCTCTGGTCTAGTCTGAAATGACTTGCAGTCCGTCAGAACTGGCTGCCTTGACGAGTAACGTCTTCCAACCTAATATAGACTAGTCTAGAGCATGCCCACACTCTGTTATGACTAGTCTGTTTTGTCTATTCATACTGTCCAGACTAGTCAGTGAAACAAAAAAATCAGAAGAATAGGTGGTGATGGGTGGATTCGAACGTTTGACCTAGCAATACTAAATATCCGACTAGTCTGGACTATTTTTAATAGTGATACGGACTAGTCGGAAGCGTAACTTCTATTGGTCATGACCAGTTTATTTTTGAGAAAGTAGTACTGTTCCTGGTCTAGACTAGTCTGAACTCTTCAAACAGTCACTTGTGCTTTGGCCTTATTTTTTACAATATGCGATTGGAGACTAGATGCATTTGTAGCATAAACCATATAGTAAAATAATCATTTTATTAGTGTTTTCATTGAGTAGTCTGTATTAAAATATAGGAATTGAAGACCTTTATAAGAATAAAAATGTCCTGCTTCTATAGTAAAACTACAAAAATATGTTAAAGCTCAACAAAAAGTAGATAGAATTATACAACAGATACTTACGTCTTAATAAGAGTAGCCATTCATGTTATTTAAAATTTCTAGACTGTAACAACAATTAAGAAAAGTTTTGTTCGAAAAATAATTTTAATATCTTTGTATGAGAATTAGTTTTTATTTGACGTATTAATTCTGGTTATTTGGATTTCAAAATGATTTAGATTATGGAATTTAGTCTATTTTCAAATTGAAATCGAAAAAATTAAAATTAAAATAAGTTTTTAGGTTTTAATTGTTTATCAATACAAAATAATTTTTCGTACATGTCGATAATCAAAATTTTTCGTTTGGAAAAGATAAAAAATTCTGAACAAGCAATCGTGACCGGTTTCGACCTTGCTTAAGGGTCTTATCAGACGGTATGTTTATTTTTATCGCTATCAAAAAATGATAGCAATGAAACTGCAATCAAATTCTATATAAATATAGAGAAGATACAGTAAAAAGCATGGTTATTTTATCAGAACAAGCAACCGTTTGATGAGACCCTTGAGCAAGGTCGAAACCGGTCACGGTTGCTTGTTCTGGTAGTAACAGCAGCTTCTGTTTGTGTTTCACGTATTAAACCTAAAGAGATGATGTTAATCACTCTTATTTTTATTCAAACGTTCTTTAATGTCAAGGTATCAACAAAAGAAACTGTCTTTCTTATATGATATACAGTGCGGTAATAATACCAATGTGCCAACTATGAGATGACACAGGATGATGTTTGTGATATATTTGTCTTAAATTGTGGTGCAAGTCGTTTAATTGGATTGATTTAATAATCATACATCCAAGACGTCTTATAAGCCATTATTCTTTTGACTTGACATCTTCAACCAGCTATTATAACTGATTGTGCAGCTAATAATTGATGACTAACTTGACTAATTTCAAATATTTTATTTGAATTATTTCCACATAATTTAACCGATTGAAAAAAATACCTTATCATCAAGTATATCGCGACTGATTGTTAAACAAAGAACAAGTAAGATACGAATCTCATTATAAGTTAAAGATGACCAATTTTTATAGTCTCTATACCGACTAACATCCATATCATCATATTCGATCGTATAACATGCACAATGCAAATAATACATTAGCCGAGCAACATCGTTATTAGGAATCGTCGTTGATACTGATTTGTCTTCAAAACCAAATTCATGTCGTTGAAAAAAAACCATTTGTGTTTTCTTTC